TCAGCCCGGGGGGAGCGGGCGGGGTCGCCCGCGAGGGCAAGGTCGAGGCCGCCCCCGCTCTGCCCTCCTCGGGCCACAGGTCTTGCTCCTCCTGCTCCCGACCCCCCCACCCAGCTCCTCTCCGGGGCACAGCGCACGAGAGCAGCCTCACAGGAAAGCGGGCCGGGCCGGGCCTGCAGGGCGGTGTGCCCTCGCGACTGAGGACCGGGTTTGAATACAAGGCTTCACAGGTGGAGCCACGGGGTCTACAAGAGACCAGCCGCCACCAGACGAGAGTCCCCACTTCTCGGCTGACATCCTTAGTCGCTCCTTTGGGGTAATTTAATTGGGATACTTAATTCTTAAGTATTTTATTTACCACTCCCACCCCCTCGACCTCCTCTGGGTTAAAACAGTGACATTGCTGTTTGCAGGAGTAGACCGAAGTGCGTTACGAGAAAGGGCTTCCGGCCCCACGTCCCGCAGTAGCTGCGGTTTGTGAAGTTCTTTACAAAGGTAAATGAGGAGCTGATATAGACTTGCTATTTGATATTTATACTCAGCATATTCCATGTAAGGCCTGGGAAAAGGCCATGCGCTAGAGTAGGCAAGGTTTTTTGGGTAGATGGGATATTTTTTATTAGACCAAGTAAATAGTTGAGGAAAAGTTCTTTGCAAGCTTTCAGGCACAAACACCCTTCATCAGTCATAGCGAGTCTCAACACAGCTGGAATCAACAACCATGCACTAGCCAGAATATGGGTTTATCCCAACTTGGAGCAGGAATACCCATTAAATACACAGTGATGTGGTATTAACATCCCCCATATTAGCTCCACTCTTTGTCAGGCTACAATAAGAAGCCTTGACAATGAAGGGAGGTGGCAGCCCTGAAACCAACAAGCATTTGCCATGTCCAAGGCTCTGAGCAGCCTTTTGATAGCCTTTCTTTTCCAGCCAGTTACCCAGGGTATAAACACTTCAGAGGTAACAGTGGGGCTGAAAGAAACTATGCACTTATCTGCATGTTGGTTTAGTATATACACTACTTTATTTAACCAATGTTTGTTTTAATGGAAGGTATACATAACAAACGGACTGGTGTTGTGTTATGCAGTTGTATGTTATGCAGATCATCGTGTATACATAACAGGTAAGTTTAAATACAAAGTAACATTGTACTAAAAGATTTCCACACACACACAAAGTTAGAGTACAATTCATCAAAATAGAGAGAGGTGTCAAATTGCCAAGAGCTTTTCCTAAAATTTAGCTTTGCTTGCTGCAAAAGACACCACCCCCCTCATTATTATGAATAAACTTTTATACTACAGTAAGGGTTATATGCCTCAAACAAAACTGGAGCCTGTTGTACTTGGGGGTGGATTAACTCTATATTGGCTCCTAAGCAAATAAACTCAAGGGCCCCTACTTTTTTCACTCAGTAATTATAACATGTAAAAGTAGTACAACTGGGTTCCTTCTTCACTTAGGACCCTAGGCATTTGCCTAGTTTGCCTATGCATTAATCTGGCCCTGGTTGTACAGTGCTGCACAAGTGCACAGAATTATAGCTCCTGCACCAAATGAGCTCACAGTTTCAGGAAGACACTTGTGCACTTTGTGGTTGTAAAATGAAAAACACAACTTAACTGCATGATCATTTTAAAAGTCCGGTTTGGCAACTTCAGCATTTCTGGCTTGTTCTGCCTTGCCTGCCTCTCTCTAACAGTTTGTAAAAGCTATTTGATGGCATCCTGTGTGTATACGGTTGGCAGGGCCTGCTTTGGGGACTCGTCAAATCTCACACACATGATGACAAAAATAAATCATGTTTGCTTAAAAAAATTGAAAAATGAGGCAGTTAGGTGTAATTACACATCTTTGTTGTATAAATATTTCCAAGCATTAGTTAAAGAATGTGATGTATCCATCAATTTGAAATTTCTACCATCAATATTTTGATGTTGCACTTATCATGAAAGTGTCTAAAGGCTATGAAAGATTTAGGATATTAATTGCATCCATCTCTAAGTATGAAGATTTTTTTTTTTTTTTTTTTTTTTTTACAGATCCTTTTTTATAGTATTCAGTTTGACAATTGCAACTACATTTTCATACCTTGTTTCTGCAAAATCTGTGCAGAGACCAGTAGTTATGCACAGTTTGTCATTTTGCATGTACAGTTATGTATTCACATGCAAAATTAAGGTGCAATCCTATAAAATACTCTGTTTTCTATAAGGTACTGAGTTATCCACTGATTTCACCTGGAGACAGGTATGTGTAATCTACTAGAGAATGTGTGTGTTATAGGCCTCCCTCTGTGATCCATTTACATAGGGTGGGTCATTTATAGTTCCCAGCCACAAATAATTAGTACTTAGTAGTCCGTGCGGAGCTGAGGTATACTGGCCAAGAGACCAGTTCTAAATTAATCAGGGTATTCATTTGGGATTTGAATTTATTTGATTCTCAGATGTTCAGAACCAGCTTTCTTGGAGCAAGGGGAATGTATAACCCTTCAGTGAATGTGCATTACAAGCCCTTCTCTATTCTTGGTCCACAAAGGATAGCAGTTGTTACAGAAGATGAGAACTTGGCTTTTAGTTTTGAAGGCTTTTAGTTTTCAATCTTGTACATTGTCTGAGAGGATGTTGTCACAGCTGCTTAGCATCTTGCATCATCAGAAAGCTCCTTTGCTTTATACTTGATATGCACAAATCACATTTTCAGTGTAAGCCTGCCCCTCTCTGGAGCTTAGGTACCCAAGTCAGGGCTGCAGACTGGGTCCTCTCCACTTGGGAACCAGAGCTTGGAGTCCTTTCCTAACAAGGGAACTTTACCAGGCTCACTATTTTTCTTTTAAAACATGGACAACTGGGGAGGGGGCATCATTCCCATCTTTTATGTAATAACCTAGTGGTTTGATCGCTCAGCTAGTATGTGGGAGACCTGAAACCAAGGCTCTTCTCACCTGAGGGGGTTCCAACCCACTCTCACCTGTTAGGAGAATGTTCTAATGACCAAGGAAAGAGCCCAGGTTGGGAGGGGACACTGCACCTCTCCTATTGCAGCTGTGCTACTCTGCAGAAAGGTATGGAAGCTTTATGGGGCCAGAAAGAGAGGGCATAAGAGGATGATGCTGTGGGCTGGTTGCTATAGCATTCACCTGGGAGTGGGAAGCCTGGAGTTCTCATTGTCCAAGGACTTTCTCCATTTTCTATTAAACAATCCTTGTATAAAATGCATGAACAGTCACCAAAGCAGAGACCAGCTCCCAGGACATCCCACTTCTTACCTCCAGTTTAGTCTGAGTCCACTTTCTTGAAGACGAGGCTAATTTAACTCTCTGCGGACTACATGTTAAGGCTCCAATTCAGCACGATATTTAAGCAGTTGCATAACTTTGGACGGCTCTCCTCTCCAGGTAAGCCCAAGATAAATATTGTGCAAAAGGAGTCTGCTTGTTTGGGGTGCTTAATTATCCTGTGTATGTGTGGGAGCAGTCTCTGCCCCAGTCCAGGTAGCCTGGGATGGAAAGCCAACATCCAATTTAAGATACATATATCGTTATACTATCCAGTCATAGCGTGCGTTGATCCATGAGCTGCATTTATATATATATATATATATATATATGCAGTGACCTTGATACATTATCCAGCTCTCTCGGGAAAAGTGCTGTGACCCAAAATATGGTGTAGGTATGGGTAGTGGTGCAGGTGTGACAGAATTCCTGAGTCTAGTTACCTCACACCCCATCCACTGAGAGTCTAGAAAGAAAAACTGATTCAGAACCTACATTTTAATCTAGCAACTTTCCCTGTTCATGGGTCCCAAAGGGATTTGTTGAAGGGCTGGTAAGATACCAGAAGTACAGTGAGTAGAAGGGTTGTCAAAACCTGTTTATGGATTCATCATGTTTTCTTCAGGCCTGTTCACTAGGATTCACTGACCAGTTTGTCTGTGCACTTTTCAGCCAAAGGCTAGTTTGCAAACATCTGTAAGGCACTGGCATTCCCTGGCAATGAGCAAAGAGACAGAGCAACTTTTTCTTTGACTATCTGCTACTGCTGGGGTGTAATTAATCACCTTAGCTACCCTGAGGTTTTGTGCATGGATGATGTAAACTTCTGGAGCAGAATCATGAACCACAACCAATAGGCATTTTTTGGTATCAAGCATCCAAATGAATTGCTGCACCTAGGCCAGGTATAATAAACAAGTCTTCAGCAAATAAACATGGCTAGTTCTCTGTTATCATCTGGAAACTAGCTTAATTGGGGTTTGTTTCTTTTACCATTATACCAGATCTCGTACTGAAAGTGAGAGACAACCAAGCAGGCAAGAAGAGCTTACTCAGACTTAGCATTACAACTATATTACACTGGGAGAAGGAAGACTGAGAAGCATTTTTACTCTTCTACTCTTTGACAAGTTCGATGAGAGTGGAAGGGTGTATACAAGGGGAAATCTGAATCGAACATTACCTGTAAGAAACACCTCACACTATTTGCATGGTGGAGAGGCAGAAAATGCCAGTCCAGCTGTGTAGGATGAGATCACCACACTGATCTCACTGTTTTGAATTCTCTCATTTTACTGACTCTGTTTTACACAATGTTTTCTCAAAGTAGGCCTAACATTATTGTAAAAAAAAAAGGAAGAGAATTTCATTCACCCCATCATAGATGAACTTTTTAATTATTCTTTTGAATTCACTACTAAACTGCTGTTTTGTGCCTACCACCCTTTCACAGCTGTGTTGAGAACTCCAGTTCAAAGTCAGACAGATTACAATCTGAGAATGAAATTCAGAATGAACTGAAACTCACTAAACTCAACTCGCAACACCCTGCTTGGCGGGGGGCAAAGCTAAGTGCCAAAAGCATCAAAAGTAAGGATAATTAAACAATGGAACAATTTACCCAGGCATATGGCAAATTCTCCATCACATGATCTCTCTAAAAGAAGATGGTAAGTCTTTCTAGGAGACAGACCGTTGCTCCATCAGAATGACTGGATGTAATTCTTTGGTCTATGTGAACTTACCCTCCTGCTAGCTGACACCAAGCCAGACATAGTGGGGCTCACAGAAATGTGGGACCCAACGCACGATTCGGCGGTGAATATCAAGGGCTATAGGCTGTACAGGAGGGATAGGACAGGGAGGAAAGGTGCCGGTATGGTGCTCTACATCAAGGAGGAATACACATCCTCATCAAGTAGCACAAGGTCAGAGGAGGGGCACACTGAAGTGCTCTGGGTTAGAATACAAGGAAGTCGAGGGGAAAGGGACATAACGGAGGGGGTCTACTACAGACCACCCAACCAAGGGGAAGAGCTAGACTGGGAATTCTTAAGTCAGCTTGTGGAGGTAGTTAGGTCAAAAGACGTCGTCATCATGGGTGACCTGAACTTTCCAGACATCTGCTGGGAAGAGCAGTCAGCCAGGTCTGACCGCTCACGTAGGTTCCTAGCTGAGATACAGGACCTCCATCTAACTCAGGAGGTGCACAGCCCCACCAGGGGAGACGCCTTGTTGGACCTGGTGCTGGCCACAGGCGACAACCTCGTGAGGGGGCTGCGGGTGCTCGACTACCTGGGCGACAGCGATCATTGTTTGCTGGAATTCACCATCCAGCGCAAAGTGGCAAAAGCCTGCAGCAAGGCAGCAGCCCTGGACTTCAGGAGGGCGGACTTCAACGAGGTAAGGAGAATAGTCAGGGAGGGTAGAGGAGGCACATGTCCAAGAAGAGTGGCCATTCCTTAAGGAGACGATCCTCCAAGCCCAAAGGGATGTAATCCCAACAAGGGTCAAAGGGGGCAAGAGGGCACAAAAGCCCCCATTGCTTACCAAAAGCATACGGGAATGTCTCCTAGCTAAAAGGGAGGCATACACCCAATGGAAGGGAGGGGCCATCATCAGGGAGGACTATACCTCAGTTGCTTGGGGCTGCAGGGGGCAGTCAGGAAGGCCAAGGCGGAGATGGAACTGGGACTAGCTACCCGGATCAAGGATAACAAGTCCTTTTTTAAATACAAAGGGGGCAAAAAGAAGGTACCAGGTAACGTGGGGCCTCTGCAAGACATGCTAGGAAATCTAGTAGTCACACCAGACGACAAAGCTAACCTATTTAACGATTTCTTTGCCTCCATTTTCCTGAGCAGGGACCCGATCAGCCCGTT